AAACATGTCAAAATTTGGAGATGACGATTCTTCGGCATTTAGAGCTACGGGCCGGAATAGGATGTAAAACTGAGAAAAACCCATTTTTCAACGGTAATCTCATGTATTTTACAGTAGCGAAACCGTCCGGAGCCTCTTGTGAAGGCCGCAGTAAGTGGCTACAAAAAGCTGATGTGCTTTAAATGTTGAAAGTTTGTTACAGAAGTTGTACTTCAATAATATTGACAAATTATTATTTTGTAGAGTTGAAAGAAGTGGTCTTCATTTCAGCGTTTTGTACTTCTCATTTTTTATTTTATCAAAGTTATGTGGCTAGTATACATTTTGGGGACGAAAAAATGTCTAAGAATTTACTGCTTTACCTGGTTAGCCATTGGGTTAAGTTTTGTCTTAAAACTTCTTTTGTCTCTGGGGAATTGCAGCACAAAATTTCAAACAAGAACAACGAGTAGAGCGTCTATTTGCTTGTGTAACGAAAACTTCAATGAGTATGAGATGGAAACAATTCTAAGAGTTCAGAAACCACTTTGTACAAGAAGTAGAAACCCCTATAACAAAAGCCACTTTTTGAAACTCTGCATAATGATGATTTAATATTTGTAGAGTAAAGTGCGACTTCGGTAGCAAACTTTCAACGTTCAAAGCATACCGGACATTTATCGTTGCCAGCTGCGACTTTTAGAGGCGGCTCCATATGGTTTCGCCACTGTAAAGTATATGGAATTACTGTTAAAATAGTGGGTTTTATTCAGTTTGACATCCCATTCCGCTTCGAAGCTCCCAATACCGAAAAACCACCATCTTCAAATTTTGATATATTGCGGATCAAAAAATTATGCACGAAATATGTCTATTTAAAAATTTAAAACTTTGTTTTGTTTTTTTCTACTATTTGTTTAAAGTTTTATTTTTAGTGTATTTATGTGATCCTTCAACAAAATTAAAATAAAAAATTTGCATTTAAAAGTTCAAGAAATGGCAAATCTAATGAGTGAAAAAAAAACCATTGAATTCTGTTAAAAATGGGCTGAATCACAAGTATGCAAAGGTAGACATTTCAAGTGGCCACCTGGCAGGATTAGCAACTTTGAGGGAGTGTAACTTGGTGGGAAATTTATTTTTTTAGATTTTTTTTCGGCTTTTTTTATACTGGCATAAACTCTATTAATCAGCAAAATTAGAAAAGAAATCTGGATCTGAGGAGAGAAAAGTGTGCGATTTGATAAAAAATGGCGCATATATATTTCCTCTTCACTACCTATTTATAGTACCACTGCCACGTATATGTGTTTATATGTATACATTCTTTTTTTTTAAAATTTATTTTTGCTACTACTTTTAAGTCTTCTCGTTGCCTTCTAAACCGGCTATTAAACTCACCAGAGAGTAGTGCTCGAGATGCATTCTGTGGTTCTTTAAGCGGTATAGCAATGTTTTTCTATAGAAGTACGTCGCTCGCTATGTACGTGTTGTGGAAATGCATAGAAGTAGGTATAAGTTGGTAAAATACTGAGTTTTCCTCTGCTGCTAAATTTCTTTTATTGCCAGTGTTTCCATTTGTTTTGGTCTTCAGAGTGGATTATGCATCTTTTTGGTGAAATCCTAGGAGAACTCACTGCTATCAGACCTATTTTGAAGTAATTATTTCTATCTTTTTGCAAATTTAGGCGTATTATTTTGACCTTGCTAATCGTGGTTACGTTCCTCTTTTTCCTCAAGCAGCTGTTTTACTTTACGCTTTGTCTGCTGGATACGTCTTGTGGAATGTGGTTATTGAACCGAGGAACCTCAGGCAGGGTTACTGGGAATTCTTAGTAAATCTGACAGCTCACAGGTAAATGTTTTCTTACACGTTAGATTGTCTGGTTTTCAATATTTATCGGGTAACTTTTTGAGGGTCAATTTACTAAACAGAAGAATCCTTGGCGAGAGTGGCTGTCGATCGTCTTCTGCTTTCCCTGTCCTTCAACTAAAGCCTAGGTCTGATCTGCTTCATACATCTGCAAAAGCCGCATAATTTTCTTCACGATTACGAGGTTTTGGATATGTATTTGTAACCAAGTGATGTTTTGAGTTATATAGCGTGATGTTGTCACTCAGTTGTGCTCATCTGAAGATTGTATTGCTTTAAGTGGGGATGTGAAAGTGGTGAACGGTTGTTAGTATTTTATAGACTTCGACGGCTTATCGTTTCAAAAATTTTTTCTAATTTCAGGGATGCCTTTCTGTGAATCTTAGTTTTAGACGGCCAGCATTGCAGAAAATTGTAAAAATCATTTTTTGGAGGAGGAATAAATGGAAGTGGATGTGGTGAAACTGGAGTTTTATTTTTTTTTT